GAGTGTGAGCACTCAGGGCACTCCAAGACAGGACTGCTTTGCAAGCGGGGCACCCCTGAGAACTGTCTGTCCGGGGTGGGAGTTGGGTCCCTTTAAGCACAGCCTTCGGCTAGCCTGAGGCAGCAGCTCCACACACTAAGTCCTAACCTGATGCCCTGCTGGCACTGGTTCCGGCCAGCCTTAACTTCGGTTCAGGGTCCACTCAATGTGGACATGCTATTTCGAATTAGCAAAACACTAATTTGAATTAGTTTTTAGGTCTAGATGCGCCAATTCGAATTAAGTTAGTTCGAATTCATGCTGTAGTGGCTAGCCTGAGGCAGCAGCTCCACACACTAAGTCCTAACCTGATGCCCTGCTGGCACTGGTTCCGGCCAGCCTTAACTTCGGTTCAGGGTCCACTCAATGTGGACATGCTATTTCGAATTAGCAAAACACTAATTTGAATTAGTTTTTAGGTCTAGATGCGCCAATTCGAATTAAGTTAGTTCGAATTCATGCTGTAGTGTAGACATACCTCATTGCTCCCAGGCACCAGCCCTCCACCCGCTACTCCCATTGGCCATGATTCTTGCTAATGGGAGCAGCAGGGAAATCCTCCAGGCGAGCAGGGGCAGGGAAAGCCTCCCTCAGCCAGGGACGGCACAGGACTGGAGCACCAGCGAAAGACTTCTGCTGCGGGGCCATGGAGGGGAGCCCCAAGCCTGTAGCCCACCTGCAATATGGTAGTGGTCCATGGACCACACTTTGAACCACTGTACTAGGCAGACCTTCTTTGAGTCTTTCATTAAGAATTGACCAGCTCTCAAATTTACAATATCTCATTAAAGAATAAAGTCTAAGTAAGTCAAAAACAATAGATTTTGAAAATCTTACTTTGTTTTCAGCCTTGGGGAAAGAGCCCTGGTATCCTTCCCAATCAAGTCTTTTTAAAAGTCATAATTGAAAATATTTAATTATAGAAATAGCAGACACCAAGAAAATCTCATGTTATCTTGATATATGCATATCATCATTGCAGTATTGCTTAAGGGCTCAAAAAGCCAGAACCCTTTGTAATAAAGTAAAAAAGGATACTACACTTTTAGTAGTATTGTGAATGCACCACAATGGCTGCTTTCTTTCTTGTTTTTGTTTGTTTTTTTAATTATCTAATATAGAGAATTTACTGAACAACAGAAATCTAAAAAAATTGAGATTATAGCTCAGATTTTGGAAGAGGAAGCTTATGCGAAGAAACATCAAGCTCGGGCCAACACGCTTAGGAGTCGAGGTAAACTTCCAGATTCCTTACGGTGGAGAATCAAAACATGGCAGTACATTGAGAATGCCTGTGAAGATCCAGCTACAGCAGTACTGCAGGTAAACTGTACTATTATCCCTAACAGCCATTAGAGAATTGTCATATGATTCAAGGCTGCTGTTGTCAGAATGGCAGGGAATAGAGTATTCCCCGCCCCCTGCCTGACATTTAATGGTTTGAGTTGGTGGCTGTGGAAAAGCATTTGCATTGGCTACAGCCTGGTGCTGTAGGGTACGTCTACACTGCAACACTATTTTGAAATAACTAGCGGTATTCCAAAAAAACTTAGTCCACTTCTACAGTGCAGTCAGTTATTTCGAAATAGTGTCAAAATACTGTCAACCTGGAAGACTTCTTACTCTGATTCCTATAACCCTCATTGTACAAGGAATAAAGGAAGTTGGAGGAAGAGTGCTCTATCTCGAAATAAGTGCTGTGTAGATGCTCCCTGTTTCAAAGTAAGGTATTTCAAAATAAGATATGCAACTGTATGATCTTTGAAAAATCATGGCAGACAGGGGAGATTCCAGAAGACTGGAAAAGGGCAAATATTGTGCCCATCTATAAAAAGGGGAATAAGAACAACCCAGGAAATTATAGACCGGTCAGTTTAACGTCTGTCCCAGGGAAGATAATGGAGCAGGTAATTAAGGAAATCATATGCAAACACTTGGAAGGTAATAAAGTGATAGGGAATAGCCAGCATGGGTTTGTGAAGAACAAGTCATGCCAAACTAATCTGATAGCTTTCTTTGATAGGATAACGAGCCTTGTGGATAAGGGAGAAGCGGTGGATGTCATATACCTAGACTTTAGTAAGGCATTTGATACGGTCTCGCATGATATTCTTATTGATAAACTAGGCAAATATAACTTAGATAGGGCCACGATAAGGTGGGTGCATAATTGGCTGGATAACCGTAGTCAGAGAGTTGTTGTTAACGGTTCTAAATCCTGCTGGAAAGGGATAACAAGTGGAGTTCCTCAAGGGTCTGTTTTGGGACCCGTACTGTTCAATATCTTCATCAATGATGTAGATATTGGGATAGAGAGTACTCTTATTAAGTTTGCAGATGATACCAAACTGGGTGGGGTTGCGACTTCTTTGGAGGATAGGGACATAATTCAAAATGACCTTAGCAAGTTAGAGAAATGGTCAGAGGTAAACAGGATGAGGTTTAATAAGGAGAAATGCAAAGTGCTCCACTTAGGAAGGAACAATCAGTTCCATACATACAAGATGGGAAGCGACTGTCTAGGAAGGAGCATGGCGGAAAGGGATCTAGGGGTCATAGTGGACCACAAGTTGAATATGAGTCAACAGTGTGATGCTGTTGCCAAAAAAGCAAATATGATTCTAGGTTGTATTAACAGGTGTGTTGTAAGCAAAACTCGTGAAGTCATTCTGCCGCTCTACTCTGCGCTAGTTAGGCCTCAGCTGGAGTACTGTGTCCAGTTCTGGGCGCCACATTTCAAGAAAGATGTGGAGAAATTGGAAAGGGTACAGAGAAGAGCGACAAGAATGATTAAAGGTCTAGAGAGCATGACCTATGAAGCCAGGCTTCATGAACTGGGCTTGTTTAGTTTGGAAAAAAGAAGATTAAGGGGGGACATGATAGTGGTTTTCAAATATCTAAAAGGGTGTCACAAGGAGGAAGGTGAAAATTTGTTCCTCTTGGTTTCTGAGGACAGGACATGGAGTAATGGGCTTAAAGTGCAGCAGGGGAGGTTTAGATTGGACATTAGGAAAAAATTCCTAACTGTCAGGGTGGTCAAATATTGGAATAAATTGCCAAGGGAGGTGGTGGAATCTCCCTCTCTGGAGATATTTAAGAACAGGTTAGATAGACATCTGTCAGGGATGGTGTAGACGGAGCTTGGTCCTGCCTTGAGGGCGGGGGGCTGGACTCGATGACCTCTCGAGGTCCCTTCCAGTCCTATGATTCTATGAACTGACGTAGCTCAATTTGCATAGCTTATTTTGAGTTTAGCCCTGCAGTGTAGATGCACCTGTAGAGTACAATGTGAGGAGGCAATGGGATAGCTTCCCCATCAAATCTCTCAGTAGCCATTAGTCTCAGTGTGCTAGTTCAGTTCTGACACTTTCGTGAGCTGGAATACTTCTTTATTTAATGCAGAAGTAAAATGTAGTTGTAGAGTTAGTTTCATATGAGCTTGTTCCAAATGACACACAGCTCTGTTTGGAGCCTCTCTGTGTAGCATTTATGTCAGGCAAGTGGAATAGTTCTTTCAAGACTCTTCCTAACCAATGTCTCCAGGTATTTTACCTCCATAATATTCCAGGCTTCTGCTGGCTCTGAGAGGAGTAGGGTAGAGTTTTATCCCCAATTTAGATCCTCCCATGTGACTTCTGGTCTGATGTAAGTCTTTGTAATAAAAAGAAAAGAAAGCAAAAATATATCTGCCAGTGAAAATAGGCATAATACAATAGTTGTTAAAAACAACACATGAAATTGGGCTGTTTCATTTATTTGAGGTTGAAGCAGCTTCCTGGCAGTATACATTAATGAATACCCTTATGCCTGAACATTAGTTTCCAACCTACTAACTCCTGTAATCGACATGATGTGATTTCTTGTAACATACAGTTTTCACCATGCACAATGTTTTAGAGATTAATTAGCATACAACAGTCCCAGACATCCATATTTAATATCCTATTAAAAGGTTTTTAAGGGTATGTCTATACTGGAAAGTTTTGGTGATGAAATTAATGGGGACATGCAAAATTTGCAACAAAAAAGAAATGACCAAAGTGTGTTTACACTGCCTCCCACTGCCACATTTTTCACTCCCCCATTGACAGACTGAGTAATCCACTGTGGTTATGCATCCCACAGTGACTAGTGAATCTTTCACTACGCACTGTAGGAACGTGGAACAGAGCGCAGCACATCTTGGGAATGTGAAAAACATCACATCAGGCACCTCTTTGTTTCCCAGCCCTTCACTGGCTTCTGGCTCCCTTTGGCACCATTTGTTAAATATTCATTCCAGCATCTGCTGTGAGAAGGCTTGGCTCCCACACTTCTCTCCTGTACTGTGTTCAGTGTCATGAGGACATCATGCTTTGCAGCAGTTACTGTTAAGTTACTGTCAGAGGAAGAAGAGTCACAGCTGGACGATACTGTGAGTGACATGGACAGCAGCAACCTGGTATTGCATTAGACTGTCACAGAGCATGTCTACAAGGTAGACCATCACTTTTGGGCTAGGAAAACCAGCATGAGTGGTGGGAGCGTATTGTCATGCAGGTGTGGGATGAAGACCAGCGGCTACAGAGCTTTAGGATGAGCAAAGCAACCTTCCTGGAGCAACATGCTGAGCTGGCTCCTTAACTGCCATACAAAGACACATGAATGGGAGCTGCCATCTCAATAGAGAAGCATGTGGCAATTCCTGTGTGGAAGCAGACAACTCCCAATTGCGACTGTTCAGTTGCAAATCAGTTTGGAGAGGGGAAGTCTATGATGGGAGCTGCACTTTGGCAAGTGAGCAGAGCAGCAAATCACATGTTGCTCCGGAGGACTGTGTCTCTGGGAAATGTGGATGACACAGTGGTTGGCTTTGAAGAAATGGGCTTTCCTAACTGTGGTGAGGCCAGAGATGGCACACACATTCCAGTTGTTGTGTCAGCCCGACTTGCCCGACAGCAACAACGAGTAGAGATATGTCTTGATGGTACTTCAAGCATTTGTGGTTCAGCATGGGTGTTTCATAGACATAAATGTGGGGTGGTCTGGAAAGGTGCATGAGGCATGCATCTTCAGAAGCTGTAGGTGTGGACTTTCTTTCCAGACCACAGGATTACTGTGGGGAATGTGGAAATACCCACAGTGATTCTGAGTGACCCAGCTTTCCCCTTACAGCCCTGGCTCATTAATCTTTACATGGGGCACCTGGACAACAGTTAGGAGTGACTCAACAACAGGCTGAGCCAATGATAGTGGAATGTGCCTTTGGCAGATTGAAAGGGAGATGGAGGTATCTCTCTGGAAGGCTAGACTTTATGGAGGACCTTATCCCCATGGTAATAGCTGCATATTGTTGCTTCCATAATCTATGTGAAAATAAGGGTGAAGTGTGTGTTCGTGGGTTGAGCAGTGAGGCACAGCGCTTGGACACACAGTTTGAGCAGCCAGGCAGTAAGGCTGTAGGAGGAGCCTGTAGGGCTGTCATTAACACCAGGAACCTTTGGGGAACTATTGTGACAATGAAGGACACTGAAATGTCTCTCTTTTCTGAGTTGCTTCCCTGTTGCTTCCCACTGAGTAACAGTCCCGTGAAAGCAAGGGATGTGACCAGTGTTCCCTCTAAGACTTTCCATCTGTGAGCAGAGCAAGTTTTGTCTTGTGCACCAATATTAACATCTTGTGCGCTTGTTTGGATGCATGCCACGGTGGCACCCACCAGTTACTAACAAAATTACATATACATATAAAATTTAAATTGTTATATAAGAAAAAATACTAAAAAGGGATAATTAACAAGGTGCATGACCCTGCACCCATGCACCCTGTAAGCCACCCAGCTTACTGGCCCCTGTGCCCAACACATGCTGTACATGCCCTACTGCCTGTGTCCCCATCAGGATCACACACAGCCAGCTGGTACCTGTATAGGCCTAGCTAACTGCCTACCCCTCCACACACACCTTGTAGTTGTGCCCAGCCTTGCAATCTGCTCCCAGTATATATGCTAGACCATCCTATCTGCCCCCCCAAACACAAACACCCAGTACCTGGGCCAGGGCCCACAGCACCACTGCCCAAAGACCTGTGCCCAGTCCCACATCTCGCCTGTTCCCCCACACACCTGTGCCTGGCCCTGCACCTCGTCTGTTCCCCTCCCCTCCATCGCCCAGAGATCTGTATCTAACTCTGCACCTGGACCTCTTCGGCCCCTCCCCCCTGGAATTTATCTGCGCCTGGTACCTCGCACCACCACAGATGGCTGGTGCCTTTGCTCCCACTTGGCTTGCTTCTGGGCTGGGCCCTTGCTGTCGTTGGCCCCACTGCCTCCCCCACTGGTACTGACC